TTGAAGTTTTGCGATCTTTCCACAGTTTCATCCTCGGTCAGAGTTCGATACCAAACATCGGTATTATAAATCCCTAACCACACTTCTAAGATATCAATTTTTCCTTGAACTGACAAAAAGTAGGCTTAATGCTTAGGATTAGGAGTGCGAATTTCTATAAAAATTGTAATTGAATCTTGAGAAATATGAGCACATTCAAGTTGTATATTAAATTAAGCACAAAATGTGCAATTTTCGTTAACACTGTGCCTGATAAACAAGTCCTCGAAAAAATCTTAGTACGTGGTTAAATCATACAAGTTTCTTGAGTAATGTGTGCGATGTGTAATTTGTGCAAAAGAATGCTCAAATGGATAAATGAATTCGTCGAAGTAGTGGTCGTTTTCATTCATTTCATTAATTCATTTACTCGTGAATTTTAGGTGACTGGCTCTGACTGATGAAGCAATTATAGAGAATAGCTTTAAGAAAACAGGAATAGATAATGCTCTTGATGGTTCTGAAAAATTACTGCATGAGAGAAGACACAGTGAGAGACGACGAAAATGATGACGACTTGCAAAATGTAGTAGACAACGTATTTCCAGCAGCCCTTTTGATTTGAGGACTACGAAGTGACTGTGAATAACAATAAGAGCGGAAGAGCTTCAAAATAGCCGCGCCCTTCCGAAATTAAATTATTAGCCTAATTTTCCCCTCTCGATTTTCATACGAAAAAAAAATTAGTAAAAAAGCGAGGAAATACGCGAGTAAATACGGTACATATATACATTTTTTTTTTTTTTTTTTTTTCCATTTTAACTAAAACCTCTAATCAAAAGCTACTGAGGTTGTACTATATTTTCTTAATTTCGTTCAACTTTGAATTGAATCGTGCTTTGGAGCCCGTTAACGGTTCTTCTACAGGTGGGAATAACTTGTGTAAAAAGCATAAATCTTCAGTGAATCATACCTTCAAGTGGATTCTTCCAGCTGTGAATCTATTACTTTGTACAACCACGATTCAGAACGTGTTAGAACCGTTGTGAAAATCCTAATCTTCCATTCTGCTCTCTCGTCTTAGGCACCAACTTGAGACTTTCCAGGTAGAATACCCTCCTCCATTTGCCTTTTGTGGAGGAAGGGTAGCTTTTACGTAGAGTAAAACAGCTGTCATGCCCAAACAGGTAACAAAGGTAAGGGACCCTTTCTGTGCCTCTCTAAAGGAAACTGAATACCACTCAGAATGCATGATTGATTTCGTTGAAAATCTGATCTTTCTGTAAAAGCAATTTTTAGCCTCTTCAAGTGGGGAACCTGTGTTGTGGAGAGGCAAAGTTTTCCGCCTGACAACTAAGCGATTTTCTTATGCTGCTGTGGTCTTGATTTAGAAGAAAATTTTTAGCTGCCACCTTGTAGAATTTTGTTAACTTGGTACCTATGAAGCGAGTTCTCAATTAACAGAGCCGGCAATCGGTTTAAAGGAATCATTGGAAAAAATGTAGTAACGTTAGAAGCAAAACAGCAAAAATCGATTACGTACACTAATTAGTTTATTTTTCGGCTTTTCTTATCAGTGATGATTCTTTTTAATAGCCATTTTATAGCAAATTGAAAAGTTGCAATTGTCGGCAACAATGTAGGGCTGGGATGGAAAAAAAGCGAAAATATTTTGCGTACTTGAGTCAACAGCAGCTTTGGTTGCAAATTCAGCTCTTGGAAAAAAAAAAAAAAAAAAAAAAAAAAAAAGAAGACAAATTGAATGAAGATTTCTCCTTATGGTGTAGTTAAGATATTATTGTAAAAATAGTCAAAACTTGTTGAGGGGGGCATTCGTGTTTATTCATTGAAAACTCCTCACTCTCGAATTTTTGGATTCGAAAACATTGGTAATGTTTCTCCTACGTGATGCGACACTTGCGCATATGGCAGTTCCGCACAGATGGCATTTTGCCATTTCTCTGAGGAACGTGAAATTTTTAAACACGTGTAATTAATTTCGGTAGATGTAGATGGCAGTTGCTCCGTAATGTTAGGTCAAAATCATTCCATAGGTCAAAATAATGTTTTCACCTATGGAATGATTATTTCATCATAAAAGCACTTTTTGTCAGTTAACTTGTCCTCCTCAGGCGGTAAAGCAATTATATCTGACTGAATCTTAGAAAACGCATATTCTAATGCCTCTTCGGTAGTGTAAAACACTTTACGCCCGAAAATTTTGGAAAAAATGAAAAGGGGAAAAACAGTATTAGTTACCACTAACGCCCAGCGATTTATTTATAGATCAGCATGTTTAAGCTAAAAAATTAATTATATGAACACTTATTTTTCTAATCTAAATAACGCAGAACAATTAAAGAGGTATTGAATATGTAGAACACGTAAGAAAAGTATTCCCCCCCCCGGTTGGATACAAAATCGAAAGCTGCGCTATGAGGCATCATTTGGCTAACTTCAGACGTTATATGCTGAACTGTTCTGGAAAAGAATGTTTCAAAACGCCTTTTGAGGTATGGCCACATGTGTAAGGAAATCAGCCAGTAACAAAAAGAAGTGATTAAAAGATATTGTTCTCAATGGTCGTTCTAAAAGTAGGTGATCTATAAATAGATCACTGGACGGTAACGGATTAAACGGGATGATTCCTAAAAAATAAATAAATAAATAAATAAATAAAAAAAAAAACGTAAACGATGTACCGGCTACGCGGGAATTTTTGAAACCTCGCCGAAAATGTTTCAGCTGGAGCTCTGTCCTGAGCAGAGATCAACCAATCAGACGAAAGTTCTGCTTCTGAAGGATAACGTGATCCTTATCTGAGCGATAATCGGTTACTGTTTGGCGTTCAAGTCTTTGTAGTAAGGAAAATGGTAACCTAGCTACGTAGGTTTCGTGAAAATGGGCGAATTCTGAGAATTGTCGCTTTCGACGTCCAGTCCCTCGTAGCGGAAACATATGTGATTGGGACTTTACACCGAAAACAGAGATGGCGCGAATGTAAAAAAATTTTTTTTTATTACGAAAATAAACTTTATTTTATGTATATGGATATTTAATTTGGAAAACTAATGATGCTATTATACCTATTTAACTATTATCACGAGAAGTCAACCAGCTTTTTTTAACTACTTGTGATCTACAATTACTTATGATTCATTACTACAATGAAATTAAAATTGTTAAGTTCAGAATATTAAAATATTTATGCTAAGAAAAAATTTTTCAGCTATAATACGTTACACAAAATCAGGTAAAGTTTAAAATGCATATGCAAAGCTATGACAATAATAATAAAAAAAAATTTAATGAAATAATAATAAAAAATCTGAAAGGTTTCAGATTTTAAATTACTTTCAAAGGGGCGTTTTTTTAACGTTTTGTGTGCTACCTTAATTTATTAAAATCATGTTATTTGTACTTAAATCATACAGTTCAGTTCAACAGCAATGTCACAGAATAATTCTAAAATGAGCATATCTTTAGAATTTCCGATACCCAGTTCCGCGCGCTGGAGATAAAAAGTTTTTTTTTTTCCCCCGTAGAGTGTTGCCATTGCTGGCTTTTAAATCGTTGAGTTTATTAATAAAAAATTCCTTAAAGTTTTACAAAATATGAAATCAATAATAAAACAAATTCCAAATTTTAAATTTGATCTTCCACATGCCCATATTCTTAGGAAGATTACGTCATTCAAAATTCGATGGCTCTATGTACCATTGTTTTATCACAATGCGAGAAATATACATACAGTTATGCAGATTTTTCATTATTTAATTTCTTCAAATATAGTGCAGGACTCTAACATTTGGTGGCAACAGTTTGAAAAGTGAAAGAGACATTTATAGTAATTCAACGCAAAATCGCAAAACGAAAACAATAGTCCTTCAGGGACATTTCAACGCCTAAGGCTTCTAATGAATGTAGTAGCTGACAGCGTCGATACAATTTTTCTTTTCCAGATATTTCTGCAAAAGAAAATGCTTAAAACGTAGAAATAAATTATTTCTGCTATTTTTCTGTTAATGCAATTAATTTTAATTAATAAAAGATGCTTCTAACGCCCTATATTACATACTATAGTACAGAATAGACGTTTACACAAACCTAACAATGAATTCTTAATGATTTGATCTTCCTGAAACACACTGTAGAGAGAGAGAAAAATATATAATACTATCGTTCTATTAGCCTGTTGCCTTGCTTAAGTAAAATCGCAGAAGCTGTCATTTTTAGGCAGATCAACGACCATTTGGATACCAACAAAATTATAATTCTGTAACAGTTTGGCTTCAGAAGAAACTTTTCTCAACTATACAGAGTAGCAGGGGCGGACTAAGGCCTAGGCAACCTAGGCACGTGCCTAAGGCCCGTAATTTTTGGGGCCCGAAAATTAGGTTTTTAATGTTTTTTGTTTTTATAATTAATTTTTATTTTTATTTAACAGAAAAAAGTGATATTCACAATTATTCCTGAAACGTATCTAAATCATGCCAAATTGTGGATTAATAAAGTCGACAAGTGTGGACAAGCGTTCCCGTGCTTATGCATCCACGCCCGCGAGTGTCGATGTGTGTAAAATACGATCGAGCCTCGCGCCTATCGAGCCTTTACTATGCACGTGTTTAAAAAGTCAAACGTAGCTATTTAAAATCAGCGTCTCCTGAACGTATTGCATGTTATGTGAGTTGTGATTGAAAATTGTGCAAATATGACTATGTACCTAGACTTGACTGCAAATAGATTGTTTTGGATTCATAGTTAATACTTTCTGGAATTCCTAAAATAAAAATGTAAGTTTTTATAAAAGTATTACATTATTTAATTAAAATAATATATATATAAAATACCACAAATTGTGATTTTGTTTATGATTGTGATATTGAGTAAAAATAAATTTAATTGGAGATCATTTCCGTCTTTCTTTTTAGTACGTGGTCTTTAAAATGAGTTCCTATAAACATTTAAGTGGAAGTGAAAAAAGAAAACGAAAAGCAGATTGAGATAAAGTGGCAAAACAAATGAAAAGATCGTTGGACAAATTTTTAACTGTAGATGGAGAACAATTACAACAATCGTCATTATTTTTACACATTTCACCTGCTCAAACTCCAGAAACATCATTTGTCTCCGAAACTATTCTGCAAAAAGACCAGCAGGAAAAACCAAGCAATTCCGTTTGTGAAGATGAAACAAAAAGAGAAAATATAAATTTAAAAGCATCTCAAAGTAATGATGAAACTAAGAGTCTTGTAAACGATATTGCATTATGGCCAGAATACTTAACAGACGCCATGCGAGAGTATTATATAAAAAATCCACCAAAATCAATAAATGGAACTTTGGAATCATTTTCTATTCGATGCAACGAAGGGTCAAAACAAATCACAAGAAAATTAACTATTGCCTCCTTCTTCAGAATATTTAATAGCGGAGAAAAAGTTAAAAGCGATTGGTTGGCTTATACTGAAACCAACAACTTATTGTACTGTTACGTCTGTAAATTATTTTCCAAGCAAACAACGCTAATGATAAAAGGGACGAATGATTGGAAAAATGTACATAAAAAATCGTCAGAGCATGAAAACTCTAGTAGACCACAGTAACTCCATTTTAATTTTATAACTAGATCTAAAATTACCGGACACATTGACACTGAACTGGAAAATCAAATTATAAATGAAAGAAAATATTCGAGAATACTTAAACTTGTGGTAGCGACAATCAAATTTATTTCTTCATACCCTTTAGCGTTTCGTGGTAAAAATGAAGTGTTTTTTAGTGAAAATAATTTTAATTATATAGGTGCTTTGGAATATTTATCCGAGTTCGATCCATTTTTGCGAGAACACATGAAAAAATATGCAGACTGCGGCACCGGTACTATAAACTATTTGCCGTCTACAATATGTGATAAATTTATTTCTATTATATCGAAAGATTTACAACTCACAATAGTATATCGAAAAATTTACAACTCACAATAGTGAACGAAATAAAGGAAGCCAAATTTTACTCTCTAATTATTGATTCAACACCTGATATATCTCACGTAGATCGTCATTATTCGCTATTTTCTTCCAAGTGATATAAAAGAAAGATTTTTGGGATTTCTGCCTATATTTTCTCAGATTGGTGAAAACTTGGAGAAAGTTATTTTAGAATTTTGAAATAATATAGATTTAGACATCAGTAACTGTCGGGGACAGAGTTATGATAATGCGTTATATAGGTTATATAGGTTATGATAATGCGTTATATATAATGCGTTTAATAGGTCAGGCAAATATAAGGGACTCTAATCCAGAATAAAACTACATATTTTTTCTGCCCATTTTATACCATGCGCAAATTATTCATTAAATTTAATTGGAAACGTTGCTGCTGAAAGTTGCATGGAAATGACCACTTTTTTTTTCAATATCGCTCAGGAATTGTACGTATTTTTTTCAAGTTCTATACATGGGTGGAATAGAGAGAATAGATGCTTCACACAAGACTCTTCAACAAAAAGACGAATCCCTAAATACAGCAGTTTTAATATATGATTCATTGATAGATTTCATACAAACTGTTAGAGATGATTTTGACAATTTAGAAAAAGAAGCAGAAAAAATTAGATATTGCATATACTAATGATAAAAAACGGCAGAAAATACGAAAACTATTTCAGCACATGAAATAAGATTCAGTCGCAAAGAACATTTTAAAGTTAATATTTTTTTTTTTTTTTTTTTTTTTTTTTTTTGTATGCGATTCTTTAATTAGCAACATTAAAAGAGATCTGAGGGATATAAAACTATTAACAAAAAATTCAAAACTATTTTTCACGATAGTGATGTTAGTGACTCTTCAATAGAGGAATTAAAATGTTATGAACAAGATTTAAACCTAGCAGAACTGAAAAATGAAGTATTCCAATTTAAGACTTTTATAAGTAAAGAAAATATTATTTCGCCTGTATCCATGGGCGTCATTCATTCAGGAAAATAATATTATTGCAACACATTCCCTAATTTAAACATAATTCTGAGAATTTATTTAACACTTCCAATAAGCAATGCAAGCGGTGAAAGATCATTCTCAGTAAGAATAAAAAAAAAATTAAGATCCACATTAGGCTAACAAAAATTAAATAGTTTATCATTACTTTATATAGAAAGAGAGTTATTAAATAACTCTATCAATTATGACAAACTAATTGACGAGTTCGCAGAATTAAAAGTGAGAAAAAAGGCAATATAACTAATCAATCTGGGTATATTTGTTTAAGTATTATTATTTGTTTTAATAAATTATGTTTGTATGTTTTAATAAATTATTTTTATTTAATTTTTGTACATGTATATTATTTTTTTCTCTTGGAATACGATAATTAAATAGAACTACATAGTACATATGCTTTAAAACCAAACTATCAAACGCAAAGTATGTGTAATGACTGAAAAATAGGCCCGGAATTACAATGCTGCCTAGGGCCCGCTTTAGCCTTAGTCCGCCACTGCAGAGTAGTCGAACTGATTCTAGAAGGCCTTCAAGCCAAGGAGATAACCGCAGGTTTCTTCATCGATATTGCCAAGGCTTTCGATCGTGTCTGGACGGAGGTTCTTATTTACAAAACCTACAACCTGGGCTTTGCGGATTACATCACACACAAAATTAAATCCTGTCTAACAGGTAGACACTTTGCCGTTTGAGTCTCTAACATTTTCTCAACCAGCCGTGCTATTGCACCCGGTGTACCATAGGGTTCCTTACTTGGCCCCACGTTTTTCAATATCTTTGTGAACGACACGCGCACTCAACACTACATTTGTAATGTACGCTGATGACACAGCGATCTTTGCACAAAGCTCATCTGTTCTACTAGTTCTCCTACATCTACAAACCCACATTCAGGCATTAGAGACCTGTCTAGCTAAATGGAAAATTCAAGTAAATGTGGATAAGACGGCTGCCATTCTGTTCACCAGGAAGAAGAAGATTTCTGGTAATATCCATTTTTATGGTGTTAAACTCCTGGGCTAAGCAAGTTCCTTATCTAGGGGTGGTTCTCACAAATTCTCTCATATGGACCCCACACATTACATGTATCATTCAGAAGTTTCAAGCACGTAAAGTTAAAAGTAAAGTTAAACTCTTCTCCTTAATTTCTGGAAACAGTGTTTTATCTATTGATAGCAAATTACTCATTTATAAATCCATTCTGCGTCCCATGCTCTGTTATGCCTGACCAATCTGCGCTTATTCATGCAAGACAAACAGGCAAAAGATTACAAGCTACTCAGAGCAGCGTTTTAAGGCAGATTACAAATGCCCCTTGGTACATCAGAACCAATAAAGTTCACGAAGAATTAAAAATTGTGCAGTTAAGAACACACTATTATAACCTCGCGTAAGTCTTTCAATTCATTTTTAAAAAAATGAGGAGTTTACAGAATACGGATATAAAAGTTTATAATTATGACTATCATGATAGTAACAGCAAAAAACGGTTTATGGCAAATCCCAATTTCTTACTGAATAACTGTATTTATATATATATAGCCATAGTATTGCTTTATGCATATTTTTATATTATCTGTTATTTGCTTTTTTTTTTTTTTTTTTTTCTTAATTCTATAATGTATACCAATACTAAGTGTGTTGTACTTGCTTTTGTATCAACTTCTCCAGCTCAGCAGCTTTTTGTTGCCAGTTTTTAAGTAGAGTTTATTAAAAAAATTGCTGTTATATATTTTGGCGAGTTAATAATGTAACGATTTTCGTAATTGTCAACTTTGTTCTAGTAGGGATAAGGCAATGAGCCTAGGTAACCTGGTGTCCGAGCACTGGCATCCCTGTGCGCTTACCTTGGTCAAATCCCTGTTACTTGATGAACCCGCACTCTAATCACCCCCTTCAACCTTTTAATAAACCTTTCGAAGGAAATTGTTTTTTTATGCTACCTGCTTGCGATTTTAGTTCTTTCTTTTTTTCCCCTTTAAAAAAAGTATTGATAGTGTGCTTTTACTTAAGAAGTTGTAGAACTAGTATATCCTATCATAAGTGCATGTTATTCTCTGTATTGTACTGTTATTCTCTGCTATCAAAACAGTCTGACCAAAGAGTTTACTGTAGCGTTTCTTTTTTCTTGAGGGTTTTCGCTACCATTTTTCTAATTCTCTTCTTTCTGTTAACTGAACATCTCATCTTTGTTCAATTTTCATGTAAGCACTGTTTGTTGTATATTGATGTGAATGATATCAGTAATAATTAATGCATAGTAATAAAAGCGTAATTTAAAAGTTATGAGCCAAAAAAGAATAATGATATGACTATCGATTCACTTTTATTTGTATTAACAAGAGCGCGGAAGCAAGGGCATTATCAAAAGTTTACTCTCATTTTTATCTCGCTGCTTAAAAATTTTATTTAGAGAGTTTTATTTGGTAGCTATAATTCAGCTTGTGAAAGCTCTTGCTTTTAATATTAAAAGATAATGTGCAAAAGGAATTTATTTTATGTACTTTACTGCAGTACATTGCATCGCGCTCTGCTATTTTTCAAAGTTAATTTCAGAAATCAATTAATTACTTACTTCTATACAGGATACTTTGCGACATATTACCGATTGCAACCGTGTGTATTCTGCCTTCCATAGCCTCGAATTTGTGTTCCATAATGGCAGTATATTTTCTTCTTATTTCTTCTTGACCAGTTTCATATCTTTTTAACGAAGTTGACGGCTTCTTCCATCTTTCCTTGGCCGCATTCAACTTCTCTTGCACTGTTTTCATCTCTTTGACGGATCCTTGTCCTGCTTTCCATCACTTCTTTGATGGAATTGACAGCCCTTCCATCTTTTCTGGGAATGCAGCAAAGGCAGTCACGAGCTGTCTTAGTTGCTCCTCCATCGCTCTTGTCATCGACATGCAATCCCATTGCTGACACCTAAAATTGCTGCTTGCGTACGGGTTCCTAATACATTGAAGGCACACCGCTCCGATGATAGGTTGATACAATTTGTTTTATCGAAAGAAACACTTCACAGTTCTGGAACTTTCCACAAAAATACTCTTGCAGCTCTTCAGCGTATCACAAAGCACAATCAGTAGTTACACTTCAAACTACTAAGGACGTTAAACACAACGCAATCTAAACAGCGAAGCTAAAACGGATATCTCAGTACATCGAATTCAGCTCTGAATTAAAAAATAACAACTCAGAACAGATGCTTTCACCGATGTTAATAGTGTTCAACCAGCCGCCGAGAAATATCTAGTACTCCTCGAAATTACTGGAAGGGCCGGATACGGTTACAGTTGCATGTAAAATGAATTAAAGTTATTCACTACCTATTGTAGTGATACAGGAACCTGACCAAAATGTCACCAAGCAATCGAAAAGTTTGGTGAATTTTTGGCGATTTTTTGCCAAATTTGGCGATAAAAATTAGTCTTCAAAACCATCACCAGCCTGGCAGTATCGAGCAAATATTGCATTGTTTTCATCTCTTTGAATGTTAAATAGACTGAATGTTAAATAGAGTTGCCTCTGTATTATGATTTTTTCGACAGAGTATCGTCTCTAGATTTTCATGTTGTATTACGAAAAAAAAATAAAC